GCCCACTGCCAGCTAATTTTTAAAATATATATATATATATATTTTTTTTTTTTTTTGTAGAGATGTGGTCTCACTATTATTGTCCAGGTTAGTCTCAAACTCCTGGGCCTCAAGCAATCCTCCCATCCTGAGAATACAGGTGTGAGTCACCATGCCTAGCCTGCAATCTGGTTTAACAAGCCTTCCAGGTAACTCTAGTGCACACTAAAGTTTGAAAACTTAGGCTCCAGCAAAGTACTTGGTTCTCCACCCAACCTGCATTGTCAGTCAGTTTCTATTAGATCGCAGACACTTCAATTCAACAAGTAAGTACGAAATGCCCACTGTGCGCCGCCTGTCATCTGTATTGTCATTGCAATTGTGGATGGGCATCTTCTTTCTCTTATCTTTTCTAAGGATTGTTTGCAGATACATAAGAAAGCTGATGATGCTGATGAGTTGCGATTGTGTTTAAGTTGACTTTCATTAGTGTTCTAAGCAGGCAATCCGACAGCGTCTGATAGTGACCAATTCGAGGTTTGGTTTTTCCATTATGATGTTCATTTCCTTTTCTGGTCTTATGGCATTTCTTTTGAATGACTAGAATTGATGTTAAATAATAATGATAACAGCCAGTATATTTTCCCCTTTCTGATTTTTGTCTGTTGCTGTTGTTGTTTTAAGGGTTCCTGATGGATCTTGGTTTAACACAGCTAGCAGTATCCTTCTTTTCTGCATGGCAGAAATTCATTCTGTTCCTTTCCCTTCAATGGATGTTAAATTTTATTAAATAAACTTTAGTTTATGTTAAAACTCTGATATTTTCCCCCTGCGTTGCTCTATTCATACATATACTCTGTTATCCAGTTTTCTAATATTAAATAGGTTATTTTTTTTTGCATTCATATGATGAACATCTATTAGTAATGGAGTGTGTCATTTTATCAAACAGATAACTTCATCTTACTCCTTTTTCAGGCTTTTGCACGTAGGGTCAATGTAAGATTAACTCATAGATTTCTTGTTTGTGTTACACACAGTCCTGTTTGGTCCCAGACATCATTCAGCTCTCTGTGCTCTTTAAGTACAAAGCCCTGGGGAAACCAGGATAAAGTATAATGATCTCAGATGTGATCTGGATTTTGTGTAGGTTTATGAATCAGTAGCAAGGGGGACAGATGTGAATCAAATAATCCCATACGCAAATGCAAAAGCATGCTTATGATTTGTGCAATGAAGAAAATAAAGAAGATTAGAAGGCACAGACGAGGGAGATTGTACTTGGTGGGCCAGCTTGGGGGGCGTGCAAGGAAGGCTTCTCTGAGGACGTGATGTTGGATTGGATTGCTAAGGACAGGAAGTATCACAGGATTGCAAAGGTGCCAAGGGAGGGGCACCCCAGAAAGGAGGGAATCATTGTATTTTTAGGACTTTTAAGAAGGCAACAATGTTGCATTGTAAAGCCTACTCTGTTGCTTGATCAGACTGAACGACTGGCAGGAACCAACCAGTGCAGGTCCTGGTGGACCACAATGAGTCGTTCACCCTCACACACAGGGAAAACCTCTTACAAGGGCTGGATGGATGACATAGGTGTGATGTTGGTGACAATTTCTTGTCCACCTAATTTTTTGTTATTTGTATATTCTGTTTTCTTGAATTAGATGTCTAGTTCCCTTGGGGGGGAAATGTCCATTTCTATGAGTTTTACATTGTAACATCTACTTGCATACAATAATCTCTACTAATTTATAATGTTTCCTCTATGCTTCTTGAAGGTTTTTTTTCTCATTTTCTGCAAATGTATTTGTGCTTTCTTTTTCTCTTTCTTTTTTTTTCCCCCCACAATGGGCTAATCAGATGTTTGCATGTTTCACTGACCTTAATTCCAGAAATATGTTCTTGTGTTCTGGCTCAATTCTCTTTGTTTTTTTGTTTGTTTGTGTGTGTAATTAATTAATACTCCATTGCTACCTTTTCTCTGACAGTATATGAGATTGTTATTTCAATCCTCACTTGACCAAACCAGGCATTATTATTTTAAAATAGAATCTCTCTTTGTCATAGTTGAAAATGACACACCCATCTCGATTCAGTTTTGACTTGTATTATTAGTAGTAGTAAGGGTGGACAATTCACTGTGTTATTATTGCTTTTAATGTTTGGTTTTAATTAGGACTGTTTCATTATTGATTTTAATTAAAACTGTGTATATTAGAGATATTCATTAATATTTCTCTGCCATATAGATTCAACATAGTTATTTTCATATTTCTTTTTCTTTTCTTTTCTTAATTGTACATATTCATGGAGTACATTTAATATATGGTAATCATATCAGGGTAATTAGCATTTTCATCATCACAAATATTTATCATTTCTTGTGTTGGGAACATTCAATATCCTCTTTCCAGCTATTTAAAATTATAATATTATATCATTGTTAATTATAGTCATCCTACAGTGGTATAGAACACCAGAACTTATTCCTTTTATCTAACTATAACTTTATCTTCTTTTACAAATCTCTGGTGCTTTTTTTTACAGTAGGACACTTAGTTTATTTTTTTAATAATTAATAAATAAATGAATAATTTTATTTAATAAAGCCTTAGCTAAGATGAGAGAGGAATGTTGTTAGCCTTACATGCATAGCTTAGAAAATAAGAAGGGTTGAACATCAATGATCTATGTCTATATACCTCAAGAAGTGAGAAAAAGGACAGCGCATTATATACAAAGAAAGCAAAGAAAAATTAATTATGATCAGAGCAGAGATGAGTGACATAAAAAACAAAATACAATGGAATTAGATCTCTAGTTCCTTGGGAAAAAAAACGTCCATTTCTATGGGTTTTACATTTTAACATCCACTTGTACACAATGATCTCTACTAATTTATCATGTTTCCCCTATGTGTCTTAAAGGTTTTTTTCTCAATGGAGAAAATCAACAAAGACAAAAGATGGTTTTTTTAAAAAGATAACACCTTTGGGAAACTTCTGCTGAAATAATCACAAAAAGCACTTAAAAGATCACTGAGAACTGTAAACATCTTTATAGCAGAACATTTGAAAATTTACATAAAACAAAGTCCTAGAACAATGCAAGTCCTCATAACTGACTCAAGAGCAAACAAAATCTGAATACCCCTACATCCATTTAAAATTTTTAAAAAATTTTTAATTATTATGGGTACATAATAGTAACATATATTAACAGAGTACGTGTGATGCTTTGTTAGAGGTGTACACTTTTAAATAACAAAAGAGTAGAACAGAAATGTTCCTAACACAAAGCAATGATAAATGCCCTCTGTCTCTTTTTAAAGTTAAACGCGTCATTTAAATCTTGCCACAAAGAAACTTCAGGTCCATCAGATGTCACTGTGTATTTATTCAAACATTTAAGAAAAATATAATGCCAACCATCTTCTAGATGATACAAGAATATGTAACAATTCTCAACCCATAAGACTGACATTACACAGACCTGGAAAAATTACAGACCAATCACCCTTATGAACATGGAGACAAAAATTCCAGGATGCAAGCACCTTTCGGAGTGGGTTAGTGTTTGCTTCTGCCTGGGGCCAGGGGCGCAATTCCTCCGAGATCACTTTAGATCCGATTCCTCTGGCTTGCGCTGTCTGGGTGAATAGGCACACGCAGGCTCCAAATCCCAGCTGCAGCTTCCTTTGAAATGTGTCTCTTTTCTGACATCTTGTGGATGAATCTTCTTCCTTTTCTTTTACCTCCTACCATTTGGATCGTGAGTAAGTGCCCCTTAACTTTTTATTTGTACAAAATCTCAGATTTATGGCAAAGTGGCAAGAGCAATACAAATAGCTCCTGTGTATAGCCTTACCCAGATGCCTCAAACAGCAACATGTTACCACATTTACTGTTTTTAAAATTCCCTTCCTTCTTCCTTCTCCTCCGACCCCTCCTTCTCCTTCTCTCTCTCTCTGTAATTTTTTCAGAACCCTTTGAGAGTAAATTGCATTGAAGATCTGGTCCCTCCGTCCTCTACAAATTCAATATTTCCTGAAGACATGAACATTGTTTTGCATAACCACAGTGCAATTCATCAGAAGCACTAATACAATAATATTACCAAATCGACAGGACTCATTCCTATGCCAATGCTTACACCAATAGTGTCATCTATAGCCAAAGAGAATCCCAGATTATAATTGGTTGATATTTTTTTTTAGCTTCCTTTAGTCTGGACCATTTCCTAGACTTTCTTTCTATCTTATGCCATTGACATTGTTGAAGGGCACAGGTTAGATTTTGTGCAGAACATCCCTCAAGCTCAGCTCGCCTTGATGTTCCCTGCTCTTTAGATTGAAATCCCGCATCTTTGGCAGGAATCCTGCAGAATTGAAGGTGTGTCCTTTTCAGTGAACCCTATCAGAAAGCACATCATATTCACTTGTCCTTTTTGTCACATTACGAAAGCTCTTTGACTACCTGACGGTGGCTGTTATAAAATAGATACTTAAGAAAGACAGTGGGGCCAAGCACAGTGGCTCATACCTGTCATCCCAACACTTTGGGAGGCTGAGGTGGGAGGATTGCTTGAGGCCAGGAGTTTGAGACCAGCCAGGGTAACATAGCAAGACCCCATCTCTACAAGAAAATTGTTTTAAAAAAGTTAGCCAGGCGCAACGGCACATGCCTGTAGTTCTAGCTACTCGGGAGGCTGAGGCGAGAGGATTTCTGGAGCCCAGGAGTTCGAGACTGCAGCGAGCTGCGATCACACCTCTGTACTCCAGCCTGGGTGACAGAGCAAAACTTGAAAATAAAACAAAATAAATATGGGTCGTTGAGATGATGGGGGTGCATGTTTTAGGATTCCATTTCAGAGTGAGAAGAGATCCAACGCTTAGACGAAACAATGCTCTTCGTAAATAACTTGAGCAAAAAGCACGGTCGATGTTTCTGTTCTACAGAGGATGCCTGTTTGATGCTAACCAAGGTGGCTCTTGTCTCTTCTTTTGTGGACACTCCAGCTCCATGGAAGCAGAAAACCAAACAGAAGTCATAGAGTTCATCCTCCTCGGGCTCTCCGAGGATCTAGAGCTGCAGCCCGTCCTCTTCGGGCTGTTCCTGTCCATGTACCTGGTCACGGTGCTCGGGAACCTGCTCATCATCCTGGCCGTCGGCTCCGACGCCCGCCTGCACACCCCCATGTACTTCTTCCTCTCCAACCTGTCCTTTATCGACGTCTGCTTCAGCACCAGCATAATCCCCAAGATGCTGCTGGACATCCAGACAGGGAGCAAAGCCATCTCCTATAGGGACTGCCTCGCTCAGGTGTATTTTACCATGTTTTTTCCCATCCTGGACACCCTCCTCCTGACCGTGATGGCCTATGACCGGTTCGTGGCCATCTGCCACCCCCTGCACTACACGGTCATCATGAACCCCCGCCTCTGTGCCCTGCTGGTTTTCCTCACCTGGTTCATTGGCGTCACGACGTCCCTTCTCCATATTTCTCTGACGACGCGCCTGACCTTCTGCAAAGACCTTGACATTCCACATTTTTTCTGCGAACTGACGCAGATCCTCAAGTTGGCCTGCTCGGACACCTTCCTGCACAGCGTGCTGATATATTTCATGACAGGTGCGCTGGGTGTGTTCCCCCTTCTTGGGATCCTTGCGTCTTACTCAAGAATTGCTTCGTCCATAAGGAAGATGTCCTCATCCGGGGGGAAGCAAAAAGCCTTTTCCACCTGCGGGTCCCACCTGTCCGTCGTTTCTTTGTTTTATGGGACGGGCGTCGGGGTCTATTTCACTTCTGCGGTGACTCACTCCTCCCAGAAGATCTCGGTGGCCTCGGTGATGTACACGGTGGTCACCCCCATGCTGAACCCCTTCATCTACAGCCTGAGGAACAAGGACATGAAGGGGGCCCTGGGAAGACTAGTCGGCAAAGCAGCCTCCTGTCTGTGATATGTCCATGGACCCCACCACTGAGAAGAGTTTGGGGACACCAAAATGGGGCACACACACAAACACCCCTTTTATCTTACTCTTAACTCTCTCAGTCCCTCTTGTTCTTTCACCCAATCCTGGAGGATCTATGACTTTGCTCTTTCCTAGTTTTTACACACTTTTTCATAACAAATCTTCCTGTAATTTGTTTGATGACATATGTGCCCTATCTATTGTCCAAAAAAATTGTCTTCCGTCATCTTTCTTGCTTCCACACGGGTGCGTCTTGAACTTGGGTTCAATTGGAAGCATTTACCGATAGTTTTGTTATCTCAAGTGATGGCACAGACTTCTTAAACTCACTTATTTCTATGTGATTGCCTGTGGATTTGTGTTGTTTGTGTGTATGTGTTATCAACAGTGTTTTTGTCTTTTACTGGATAAAGTATGATTAAAATACATATTAAAGTACAGATGACATTTTAGTGTTTATTACGTATGAATTCTGTGCTAAGTGCTCTCTCTATATTATCTTATATGATTTCCCCAATGAGAATGGTTACTACCACCATTCTAGACATGAGAAAATGAGGCTCCAAGAACTAAAAACAAACAAACAGAAAAACTTTTCCAAAGTTACAGAGAGACCAAGTGGCAAAACCAAGATTCGAACCCAGAACTCTGATCTTGAGCCCATTTTAATTTAATTTAATTTAATTTATTATATTTTATTTTTACAGAGACCAAGTGTTACTCTGTTGCTCAGACTGGGGTGCGGTAGCACAATCATACCTCACTACAGCCTGGAACTCCTAGGCAAAAGCGATTCTCCTGCCTCAGCCTCCCAAGTAGCTGAGACTACAGGCATGCGCCACCACGCCTGGCTAATTTTCATTATTATTTTGTAGAGATGGGGTCTTGCTATGTTGCCCAGCTTGAATTACTGGCCTCAAGCGATCCTCCCACCTCTGCCTCCCAAAATGCTGGGATTACTACAGGTGTGAGCCACTGTGCCTGGCCCTCATTTAACTTTAATTACCTCCCTAAAGGTCTTCTCATCTTCAAAGGCAGTTGTCACATTGGGGGTTAGGACTTCAATATATTAACTTTGGGGGCCACACAGTTCAGTCCATAACAGATGGCTTTGCAGATCTGAGAAAATTCCAACCAACTCAGAAGGGAGCTCTGGAGCAAGGGTTGCTCTTTGGAGAAGTCCCACATTGGGTAGAAACGACCAGGCCCTATTAGCCCAGGAAGAGTGTGGCCTTGAGGTAGATCCTGAACGTGATGACAGCTGGACGCTGTCATCCACCTCTGCAGTTCCCAACCCCTGGTCCATGGACCAGTGCCAGTCCGTGGCCTGTTAGGGACCGGGCTGCAGAGCTCAGTGCCCCTACCCTCCTCCATTTCCACTGTGGAAAATTTGTCTTCCAAGAAACTGGTCCCTAGTGCCAAAAAGGTTGGGGACCACTGAAACTGGATTCCTTCTAACTGAGTGGCAAATTGTTTCTTAAAGGGAGATTCAGGCCTCACACCTTCTTGGCTATCACATTTATTCTTGTGGCTATTCTAGAAAAATGATCGATGCTGGACCTCACCATTTCTTATTAACTAGAAGTTACTCGTTTCTTAAATTTTTTTTTTTTTTAAAGAACATGACTAATTCTCCCAGCTAAAGCCATATAGCTTTGAAGAAAAGTTTTTCATTAATTTAATTTCTTGCTTTAGCTTAGGTTCATTCTACGTAAGAGTAAGTCAATTTTAGTATTCTATTAATTTCCATTAGATTTGCAAATCTTTAATGGAATATTACTTAATTTTCTCTTGATAATCTTTAAAGTTTCCTCTACTTCTATTATCACTCTTTGTTTATATATTTGGATATCCTCTTGTTTTTTTCTTGATAGGACTTGCCAGAAGTTTGAGTATTTTTCCCAGGAATTAGTTCTCAGTTTTGTTGATCAAATCAATTATTAGTGCTTTTTTTTTTTTTAACCACAATAAATTCTCCTCTTTTTTTTCTCTTTGCACTTCTTAAATTTGCTTTGCAGTACTTTAAATACACACATATATCTCCTTGCTCAATGAGCTGAGAGGGTATAGAATCAATGACACCCCAGTAGCAATAAGCACACTTAGTGCCCAAATCTTTGTTTCTAATACCATTATCTAATAAAAAGAACCAGAGCTCCTTGGAGAAATAGCAGATTCTAGGACTAGGGCAGGAAATAAAAAAGGTGAGCCTGGAATGTCACGTGTTGCCAGAAAGTAGAAAAGTGCTAAAAACAACAACAGAAATCCACAATGATGGGGGTGTGTCATAGGGACACAGAAGCCAAGTGAAAGAATTTCCAGTGGCCAAAGAAGAGAAAGGACCAACACATAATGAGGAGAGGACAGTCTCTTCAACAATGATGTTGGGAAAACTGGGTATCCACATGCAGAAGAATGAAATTAGACCCTTACCTCGCACCATATGCAAAAATCAACTCAAAATGGATCAAAGACTTAAATGTAAGATTCAGAGCTATGAAACTTCTAGAAGAAAATATAAGGGAAAAGCTCTATGACATTGGTCTAGGCCATGATTTTTTTGGATATGACCTCAAAAGCACAGGCAACAAAACTGAAAATAGACACATGAGATTGCATGAAACTAAAATGCTTCTGCAGACCAGGGACGGTGGTTCATGCCTGTAATCCTAGCTGTCTGGGAGGCTGAGGCGGGAGGATCGCTCAAGGTCAAGAGTTCAAAACCAGCCTGAGCAAGAGAGACCCTGTCTCTACTAAAAAAAAAAAACAATAGAAAGAAATTAATTGGCCAACTAAAAATATATAGAAAAAATTATCTGGGCATGGTGGCACATGCCTGTAGTCCCAGCTACTTGGGAGGCTGAGGCAGGAGGATTGCTTGAGCCCAGGAGTTTGAGGTTGCTGTGAGCTACGCTGATGCCACAGTGCTCTAGCCCGGGGAACAGAGTGAGACTCTGTCTCAACAAAAAAAAAAAAAAAAAAGCTTATGCAGATCAAAGAAAACAATCAATAGATTGTAGATACAACCAGCACAATGGGAGAAAATGTTTACAAACTATACATCCGATAAGGGGTTAATATCTAAAATATATGAGAAACTCAAACAACTCGATAAGCAAGAAAAAATACCCCATTTAAAAATGGGCAAAAGACTGGAATAGACTTTTCTCAAAAGAAGACATACAAATGACCAACTGCTATATGAAAAAATGATCAACATCACTAATCAATAGGGAAAAGTCCACAATGAGATACCTCACTCCTGGTAGAATGGCTGTTATAAAAAACAAACAAACAAAACCCCAAAAATAACAAGTGTTCATTAATATGTGGAGAAAAGGGAACTCTTGCATACTTTTGATGTGAAGTACATTAGTACAGCCATTATGGAAAACAGCATGGAGGTTTATCAAAAAATTAAAAATAGAACTACTATATGATATAACAATCCCACCACTGGGCTTATGTCCAAAACAAATAAAGTCATTATGTTGAAAGGATATCTGTACTCTTATGTTTATTTCAGTATTGTTCACAATAATGAAGATATGGAATTAACCTAATTGTGCACCAATACATGAATGAAGAAAGAAAATGTGGTGTATATATACACAGTGGAATGCTATTTAGTCATAAATACAAGGAAATTCTGTCATTTGTAACAACATGGCTGAACCCGGAGGACATTGTGTTATAAGCCAGGCACAGAAAGGCAAATATCACATGATCTCATTCATAAGAGGAACCTAAAAAAGTTGATCCTGGAGAAATAGTAAAATATTTGTTACCAGAGGCTAGAGTGTTCGTGGGAGGGGAGAGAATTGGAGAGATGTTAGTTAAAGGATACAAAATCACAGTTGGATTGGAGAAATAAGTTCACTAGATCCATGGTACAGCATGGTAACAGTAGTTAATGATAATATCTTGCATTCTTGAAAAATGCTAACAGAATGTATGTTAAATGTTCTCACCACAAAATGGTAACTATGTGAGGTAGTACATATGTTAATTAGCTTCATTGAACTATTCCACTATATGCATATATTTCAAAACATCATTTTGTACACTATACATACCTACAGTTTTATCTGTCAACAAGTATATTTGGAAATAAATAAATATGAAAGCAAATAATAACATAATAAATATATGAATAATATATAAATCATAAGTATTTGTATTGAAATATTTATAATGAAATAAATATATAACTAAATAATAAATAAATTTGGAAATAAATAAATAAAATTTGGAAAAAATAAGAGAAAAAATTAAAAAGAGAGGTCCTCTTTGCTTCCATAAATCTTTGACGCTAAGTGATCTGTAAAATCTCCAAAGACTCTCAAAGGAAGGCACATCCCAGATAGATGATGCCTGAGTTTGGTCCCTTATAGAATTAAGATTTTGTCGGGCTCGGGTCAGCCTGTAATCGCTAGCAGCTTCTGGGAGCCGAGGCGGCAGTTAGCTGAGCGGTCAGAGTTGCGAAACCAGCCTGAGCAAGAGCGAGACCTCCATCTCTACTGATAAATAGAAAAAATTAGTGCCAACTAATTAGTATATAGGAAAAAATTAGCGGCATGTGGGCGCATGCCTGTAGTCCCCAGCTACTTGGAGGCTGAGCAGAGGAGGATCCTTGAGCCCAGAGTTGAGGTTGCTGGAGCTAGGCTGACGCCGACGCACGTTCGCTCCAGCCTGGCAGAAGAGCAAGACTCTGTCTCAAAATAAATAAATAAATAAATAAAATAAAAAAGAAATTAAGTTTTTCTTCGGGGAAACCTTCTGACTTTTAAACCAAACCAAAGAAAGGAAAGAGAGTTTCTCCTTGGAGGAAAATACACTCACCTTGTCTTACAGCTGTTTCCATTAACACAAAAAATTGACTAAAAATTTTCCATTTGGGGAATTTCTTTCTACCCCAAGGAAGCCGAATTGTTTGGAAGAGTGGAAAGAATAGTTTAATGAGGCACTCTGGGAATTCAACCTCTGAGACACTTGAAACTTTAAACATGCCCTTCACCTGTAATTCCCTGATCCCAGCCTTTAGGAAAACCCAAGTGGGTTTCCTAAGGACAGGTGTGAAGAACAGAGAGCTTCAGCTTTAACCAGCAGAGAGAGAGCGTGTCCCAGTGAGGGCTGGTGGGGTGACAGAGTGGGTACTGGGCTTCATCTCTGGAATAATAAGTCCCATATTTATTTAGTCCATGAAGGTGAAGTCCCTCTACTTCGAAGGTACTTTACTCTCCACAGAGACTAGTCTTTTCCAGAACTCCTTCTTTTTCCTTCTCCCACTCTTTGAAATCCAGAGACTTTCCCCAATTAACAG